CTAATTTTCTCATTTTTGAGCTTATATTTACAAAGCTGATTGCTTCCTGTCTTCAGAAAGAGGAACAACAGAGAGTTAACACAGAAGAAAGGCTGCCCATGATACATGGAAGCAGGGGCCCCTTTGGTGAAGGGATGGTCATTTCCAGATGGTAGTGAATTATTTGAACAAAATTTTGTCACATTTTCTCTTTAAAAGAGGGTCTCATCTTCATGTAGGTTACTCTTTTTCTTCCTTTTGGGGTATGAATGCAAGGTTTAAGGGACACAGTAATGGATTACACATTTGTATTACTACTACAGATACATAGAGTCTAGATTTTAGAATACCAATTTGCACAGTTAGAAGTATTGATTATCTATGCAAGATTTCAAATGACTTTTTTAAAAAAGTCCCTCACAAAAAACTTCCTTTTCCCTCAAAATTGCCAAAAAACATTTTCTAAAATAATTTCAGGGAGTTCATTCATGGTGCATGGGGGTGGGGTCCAGCAGGAAAGGAACCTATGAACATTTTTACTCATTTTGGATGATGTCTAATTCCTAGAGCTAGGAGTAATGAAGCACAGCATTTTTCAAAATCACAATGGAAAATAAGCCTGAAACATTTTACTAGTGAGGCAAGAGTCACTTGAGATATACTGTTAAATGTGAGGGGTGGAGATATATCACAGATACAAGTGGTATTACACAGCATGCATTTTTCTGAAAAAAAGAATCCATGAATAAGGATTAGATATACATCTACAATAAGAGGGCATATTGATCTATAATTTTCAATATTACATTCTTGTATTTTTTTATTACATGCTGTTTTTCAACTAGTAGAGAAATGTACTCTCATAAAGCTAATATTTATTCTCCAATATTTATAGAGCTGGTCGTTCCTTTCAGGAAATGAGAAACTCTGTGAAGTCAAATATAACTTGTTGTCCTATGCATAAAAGACAGCAGGACAAGAAAACACTATTTTTTAAAAACTCAACTCAGGAACCTAGTCATAAAGCTCTGAATAATTAAATAACACATGATAATGGAAGTCCTTTCATAGTATTTTTTTCTTTCTTCATAAGCAGATTTTTTTATAGATGATAAATCTTATCATGTAGGATTCCTCCTTTTATAAGAAAGCAAATAAGACATTCTGGTAATATAGTTCTCTCTATATGCTTTCTGTGTTTTCTTGTGGAAGCTAAGGCAGATGCTGAGTGTCATCCCACTATAAAAACTGAGGTGTCCTACCTAGAACTGTGTTTCCAAGCCATGGATTGTTTTAATTCATGATTAAGAAACCTCTGAATGAAAGAATAGAAACTCACGGTTATACATGATGCTAAGCATAAGTGACAGATGAGTGCTCAGCTCTAAACAAGGCGTTTATATTACCCCCTCTAGAACTCAAGGACCATTGCAGAAGAGGGGTGGAAAGAATAGAAGAGACAGAAGACAAGAAGGCCTGCAAAATGTCACCTTCTGGTAGGACATTGCCATTGTAACCATGAAGTCAAAGCATATGGGTCTGCCAAAAAATGGGTCTGTCAACAGTCAGGCATCAATGCAAGAAGGGCTCGGGGTCCTGCCCCTGATGCTGAAATATTTACTAATGATAGCTTCAAGGATAGGAAAATCATTGCCTTCAGTTGTGTATCAACGGGGACCCCTTAAGGCTCCAATCGACACTTCCAATCCATTGGTCACAGAGAAAGCCTGGTTAAATTAAATGGGTCACAAAACAAAACCAAAAGTTATGAAGTTATGAAGGGGGCTTGATAAGGATGAGAGGGAGATAAGAGAGGGTGAGGTAGAAAGCAGTCAGAATACATTATGTACATATGTGAATAAAACCAATAAAATACAGGAAAAACTTAACCAACCAAATGAAATATTTGAACCTTGAAACTATCAAATATTGCTGAAAAAACCCAAAGGAATATGCAAATCAATGGAAAGATCTAGTGTTCATGGATTGAAAGATTTAATTTTGCTAAATGTCCATACTAACCAATATGATTCAAGATTCAATGCAATTTTCTCAAAATTATAATAGAATTTGTCATAGATACAGAAAAAAATTCTGAAATTCATATGGAACTACAAAGAACATTAGTTAACAAGCAAATCAAATGAGATACAAAAACTACATTTGTAAATCTTAGTCTTCTTTACATTAAAATATACTACAGAGCTATGGCAATCAAAACAAGATGGTACTAATATAGAGGAAGATATGCAGATCAAAACAACAGAGAAGAGAGTCCAGAAATAAGCCTACATTTACCCAATCAAATGATTTCTAAACGTTTGAGTTCTAGTGACTACAAAATAGTGGAAGGCCAGTCCCTCTACTTCCATGTGTTAGGCAAATTGGAAAAGAATTACATGGTTCTATCCTAAACCATTCACTACAACTAACGCAAAATTGATTGAAAATTTAAATGTAAGGCCCAAAGGGGTAGAGGGGGACTACAAACAGAGAGCATGCATAAAACTCTCTACAGCATTATCTGTAGCTATGACTTCTTACACATGACACTGAAAGTACATGTGGCGACAGAAGCAAAATGGATGCACAGAATTCCATCAAACTAAAAGGTCTCTCTCTGTGCAGGAGAGGAGGCAATGGACAGAGTGAAAAAATAAAACCTTACAGAATGTGAGAAAATAGCTGTATATCGTACAGCTGACCAGACATTAGTATCTAAAAAACATATAAGAACACTTACTACTCAATAGCCAAACTGAATAATGTAATTTAAAAATGGAGAAGGAAATTGAATAGATTTCTCCCAAGTAGATAAGTAAGTGGCCAAGAGGAACATAAAATCACCAGGAAAATGTAGGGAAAAAGTTTCAGAAGGCTGTCACCTCACAGATGTTAAAGGGGTATTATCAAAAAAGAAAAAAAAGAAAAAAAGAAGTGTTGGTAAGATGTGGAGCTAAAATGTTACGCTCACTGAGGAAAACAGTATACATATTTTTTTCCAAAAATTCCAAACAGAATTATTATATGAGCCGACACTCTTACTTTAAAAGTATACATCCAAACAACTGAGAAAAGAACTTTGGGGATATATTCGGCTGCCTTGTTTGTCAAACATTATTCATCATAATCAACATCCTGACTACAATAGATCAGTCAACAGATGAATAAACCAGGGCTGGTGAGACGCCTGAGGAGGTAAAGGTGCTAGCTGTGCAAGTCTGACAGACTGAGTTTGGTCCCTGAAGTTCACTTAGAGATGGAAGGAAAGAACCAATACCACAAGGCCATCCTCTGACTTCCATAGCCACACTACTGGCATGTTTGTCCACAAACATACATTATGCATGTGCATACACACACACACACACACAATACTAATAGTAAAAAATTAAAAAAAAATGTGACATGTGCCAGAAAATAATAATATTCAGACTTAAAAAGAAATGATTCTAAGTGAAACAAGTGGGTCGCAGAAGAACAAGCAGTGTGCAATTCAATTAAGCAGGAACATCTATTAGAATGAAGTAGGATGGCAGCTGCTTGGGGCTGGAGTTGGGTTGTGCAGCGTTGCTGTCCAGCAGGTACAGAATTTAAGGTAAAAAAGTAAGTACTACAATTAAATTCTCAAAGAACATATTTATAATATCCATATGGTTAGCCATGTACTTAGATTTTTGTTAAGGGGTAGATTTCACATTCTGTGCGTGTGTGTGTGTGTGTGTGTGTGTGTGTGTGTGTGTGTGTGTGTGTGTGTTTAAATCACAGTATCAAAACCAAATCCTTGGGTTTAGGAACAGCAGATGAGGCAGACTCTTGTAGACCTGGGAGGGGCATTTAGGTGACCCCTCAGTGTGTCTGTTTCTGAGGATCTAGTCATTAGGGTCTAGCAGGGTGGACATCCTACCAAGCTGACAGACTGGGGGTGGGGTAGAAGATGGGGGGCACAACTTTCCATTGACCCAGTGCTTTAATAAACACCCATTGCCATACTCTACAATGTAAACTAATCAAGAAGCCCTTCAATGATGAGGTTTAAAAAAAAAAAAGGAAATTTAGCCCAGAATTGCAGTAAAATCTGCTTTGATTTCTCAGTAGAAATAAAAGAAATAAAAAAGTAAGACACAGTAAAGGTCTATTAAGGGAGAAAATATTTGTCACCTTGGACAGAACAAAAGTCCCACCAAATGAAATAAATGTGTTTGGCAAAGAGACATCATGCTAGAAAGCCGTGTGCTTCCTCTCGCTTGCGCTTCATTTGGTTTCTGTCCACTCGGTGTTCCAGGCCTTGCCCTATACTCTGTTTCTTTTTCTAGCTATGAAAGATGCATGAACGGAATCTAGTCTTTGTCAGAAAGTGCCTTCAAAATAAAAGTGTTTTATTTGGTGCCATCTCAAAGGCAAACATACTTCTAAATGAAAGCCTTGCCTTGCTGGCAAGCTTGCTCCTTGAGTGAGCAAAAATACCGTTTGCTTTTCAGAATGCTAATAGTACACACACACTTATACAAGCCCTCTTTCATCATTCAAGAAACATAAGGTGAGCACCTCCTGGACGAACATGCTGCCCACCAAGTTTCTACACATGAAAATGTCACAACAACAGTACTAGTTAATACAAATGCAGTTTTGATTTTTGATGCTTCAAAATGTACTTCATTCATAAGGTATTAAGTGATGAAAATTACCTAGCAACATCTGACATATGGGCATACCCAATATAAACTTACTGAGTTTATTCAGTTAGAATTTGTAAGCCTAGAAGTCAAATTTGCTTACGGCCTTTGTGGAGCACATTCTATTTCTAATACGCTTCTCACAGCATCACACAGAACACAGTATTGAGAATGAGATGCATCTCGGCATATTCCCTTGGCTCCTTATCTCCCAGTGAGAATCAATTACCATTTGTGCATTATCTACTTGAAGAGTATTTATTGAAAAATGATATCAATGTATTTTTTTAAATCCCTTAAAATTAACAAAATCTTCAGTAAAAAAATGAAAAAAAAATCACACACCTTAAAATGGCTGGCAGAACAGAAGACAAATCTATTCTTCAGGGTCTTGAACAAAAACAATGTATTCATAAAAGTGTTCTATGGAAGCTGGTTACAAAGGAAGTCCCATGGACGACAGTATGGCTCTAACATGCCAAATACTCCTGGAAGCAAAGAAAAGCACAGTGTTAGGGAGTATTCCAAGTACCATTACTGCCTGTCCCAGATGCCATGGGCCCAAAGTACCTAGGATAGCATCTGCAGGGACATCTAATGTGGTGTTATTCATTTGTATTAATTTTGTACCCCAAATAATTTTATTCATAAACAGCAAGATGGGACATGGGCCTTGTAGCATTCTATTTAGAAATTTCAGGTCAGGAGTATTTTATAAGGAATCCCCCTTTTCCACTTTCCCTCCTCTCCCCAGGCTAGGGCTGTGGTGAGAGCATCAAGGCAGCAAGGCTACTTCCTGAGCGCCTACAGGTATGGGGCGCTGGGCAGGTGCTTCACACACAGGGGCTCTGCTGGGCACGGCCACCCTGCACTGGAGAGCACTGGCTTCATTTTATAGATGAGAGACGCTGACATACATCTCACTGAACTCTGGGTTAGATCCTGTTTCAACTAAAAGCCTGAGAGGTTTGGGGCTGGTTCTTCCTCTCTTTACCAGGTAGCCTATGAGATTGAGAAAAATATTTCATAAAAACAATTGAGACCATGTAACACCCCAAGATACTAAATTTATTCAAATTAATTATGATTTTTTTTCCTAATTTGCTTTAGGTTTATAGCAAATATTGTCTTATTCTGTTAGGCCCACAGAAATGTAGACAGCTGGGCTTAAGCATTGTGCTTTTTTCTTCCAACTCTCTTTCCTAAGCAAACAAAGAGAGTTCCTTGGAAACCAAGCAGCTCTCTGCTGGGATGGTGCTGATCTGTGTGCTCTGCTCTGCTCTGCCAAGGATGGCAACACACATTCTCACTTCCGCTGCCCCCTCCACATGACTTACAGACTGAATCTTTTGAGGCAGTGAGGAACTGAGCCCTCATCCTCTGACCAGGCCCCCTGTGAGATGCTTGTACCTCCAAGTGGCTGCATCCACCCGAGTGGCTGAGGGTGACTAAGTAAGGCTTGGCAGGGCTCTCTCTAGATTTCTCTTTTCAGTTTTCAGTCAGTTATCTACATGTTTCAGATGGTTCTGGCACCAACAAAGGCCTACATCCTGCCCCCTACCAGCTGTCCTTGTGCCCACCCTTAGTGTGTTTCAAAGTCAGTGCCCACCAACGGAACACTTCAATAATTTCTTCAGTGTGCAAGTCTTTAATGCCATGGACTTTTGTCTGAGTCTTGGAACTTTTGGTTCCTTTACACCGCATTTGGGAAGTATCTCTGGAAGGCTAAAAACTGGAAGAGCCAGAAATATCACACATAACCTTTTATATTCTTCATTTAATTATTTTGTTTCTTTTGCAATGAAAAGTCATGAACAAGGAAAACAGGGAAATGATTGATAGGATTTTCAAGTTCTGAAGAACTGGAGTCTGGGATTATTATATGGGGAAGAAAAGAGAACAGAGCAACACAGAGCTTGTTTATCTTTGCGTGAAAGAAGGCAGAAGATCTGACAGAGAAAGGGAGGAAGGGCACACAGAATCTAAGTTAGAGGAATGCAAAATAATAGACCTCAAGGAGTAGCATTCTTTTTTCTTCATAGCAAATTCAAAACAACATGCCTGTTTGTCAGAAAATCCCAACAGTAATTTTCATGTACTCCCTCTACCACTACACATTGGCTATTTATGAGTCAATCAATAAATCAGAAAATTCAAGTCATATAGAAATAGGGTAGTCTCTTATTCCCCCAGGCAACCTACCCTCTGGTAGAGGGATACGACTAGAATGTTGAAAGCTGTGCAAGAATGATATTGAGTGCCAATGAGATTGGGGTGTGGAACTGGACTCCTCACAGAGTTCCTGCCTTGTTGCTCGCTAGCTGTATGATGTTGGCCACGGAGCTCAGCTTCTGTCACTTCAGTTTCCTCTTATGCATGATACATTCTCCTGGAAGGTCATCTTCAGGATAAAGAGAGATACCCCATATCGATTGAGAGGTGAACTGAGGAGCCTACGAGAACTAGCGAATGCTGACACATGGTAGTGACACTTGTTTGACAGTATGGTGACATCACTAAGGGAAAATGTGTTGGAACTTCAGAGGAGTTGAGGTTCTGTCTGTTGGCGATGTGGGGAACCAGAAAGGCTTCAGTAAAGACTGCAGCATTTATGATGAACTATTAGGAAATGAACATGGGGCTTTTATACAGGAGGTAGTTTCAGAAATCCTCTGGTGATCATTGAAAAGCGGGGAATTAGTACCTTTCAAAAAAAGAAGGTCCATGAAATTTGACATCAATTTCCAAGATTTGGTGTAAAAGTTGGTATCTACCATCACAATGGAGCCAGAGAATGATACAAAGGAGAAAATATAGGCAGCACTGCTAGGAGAGATACAATATCCTTCAGGACACTGCTCAATTCAAGGATAATCTGAAATGACATCGTGGCTTCTAATGGAACTTGGCAAGCGCTAAACATGCCGCTTTTAAACTTAGCCTCTAATTTAAATCCCAGTGCTGGGACTCAGATCTTCAGTGTGACCTTTACTGGGTATTGTTCAAGGAAACATGACTGTCACAATGAAGAGGAAACAGCACACCTTTTCACTCTGGAAAACATAATGACATCATTCTGTATGGATCACCACAAACTTTTAGCAGGATTTTCTTCTCTGCGGTTCATCTTTTTAAAAACCAAAAGAGTTGTCATTTTCTCCTACACATGCTGATAGGCAATAAAAATGAATGTGTAACGTTTAATGTGACTCTAATAATGTATATTCCACTACTTAAGAATCTAGAAGAGTTCCGTACTTAAGAATCAGCTCTAAGTTCCTTGTCAGAATGATCTGCTCCTATCATCTCTAATCTTAGAATAGAGTGTTCGGACACGAATCTCTGGATCAAATGGATAGTCTACTCACTACAGGATAGTGACCCTCCATCAGGGATTCACTGGAGTCATCAGGCTCTATGAAGTTGGAATCTCTAGAGCAAAGATTGATCTAAATTTTACTCGGTGATTCAGACAAACAGCATCTGTTAAGAACAGCAGCTGCCTCTCCTCCTGATCCAGGTGTATCTAACCTACCTGGCAGACATGCACAATCATCCTTCACTGAATCTGCCAAAAGCAGGGTATGTGATGTCTTCTCTAGTTCTCACTGCAGGGTGACCTCACAGAAGGGATTTTCTAGTCATCCCCCAGGGGTCTAGAGCAAAGAGCAGCACATGCTGTTTGAATTATGCTGTTATAAAAACACTTGGATTAACAGACATCTCAAAAGTAGATAAACAAGACCAGGCAATGCTGAAACCAAAACCCTTGTGCAAAAGGCTGGTGGGAGCTGAGGCTGGGCTGTGGACTGACAGGCCTGTGCTTTCCAGACGGCTACAGTCCTTACCACTCCCTACTCTCTTTCTGAGTGAGACCAGTGAATGGCCCCTGCAGGAACCTGCATTTGCAATGTGTTGTTGGGCTCTACCATCACAGACAGCAGCAATCACATTTGGAAGCTAAATGATTTTTCTTACCCTCTTAACAGACAGTGCCTGAATTATCACTTGAGGTTCCATGCTAGATACAGGACTCTGACTTCTGCTTCATAAGCAGCTTTGATAATCTTTTCTCTGGCCTTTTTCATTTAAATGCTTACTGTTAATCCAAAATCAAATGTAGATGAAAGAGTAAGAAGTCTGGTCTCTGCGTTGTCTTTGCTTTAGAGGTCCTAATCAAAAAAGCTAACCCACTTTGTTGACTTTTCTCTCAGACATATGAAATCGCAGTTCCTTCCAGCTCTGCCCTTGCTCAGAACCAAGTGTGTGTGCACATTGTTATTTGTATTTGGAAAAGACTCTGACTTTTCCACTCTTCATCTGAAAACCTAAAGCAGGTTTTGCAAGGAAAACTAGGCCTTGCCTTGGTTTTTGCATGACTTTATACTTGCATGTACATCCTTGCATGGTTCCTCCTCATCCCTACAACCTTAACTATGGCTAGGCCTAGTGAGTGCTTATAGAGTTAGAATATGACAAAAGGGATGAGAAGTGACTTCACTCCTGCTCTGTTGATAATGGCTGCCACGTTCTGAGTGGTTTTATGGTGAGGCCTCTCTGGAAAGGAACTGAGGGAAATGTCTAAGCCAGTAGCCAGCTTCCCCAGTTGAGAAGACTATGGCCTTGGCAATGACTTGATTAAAAGCCTTCTGAGAGACCTGGAGCTCAGCCGAGGCATGCCCAAATTCCTGTGATAATTATGTGTCAATTTCTCTAGTGCTCAGGTATTTGGTTAGATGCTGTAAAGGTAGTTTTGAGATGAAAAGAATGAGTTAAGGAGACACTGAGTAAAGCAGATTATATCCCATAATGTGGACAGGCCTTCAGAGAAAACACACTGAGGTCCTTGAAGACGAGGAAATTTTGCCTCCAGACTCAATGTGCAATATTAACTCTTCCCTGGAACTTCAACTTGCTGGCTCACCAGGCAGACTCTTGACCTGCCAATCTCCAGGATCACATGAGATAAATATTCACAATAAATGTGTTTTAACATGTATGTTCATATGTGTATACATGTATTCATATACACCCTATATCCTATTTTCTCTGTTTCTCTGGAGAATCCTTAGGGTTTCAGACTAGGTTCTTGAGTGAGACAGAATTGATACAGTCTATATCTCTTTCTATATAGACATACTCAAAGAGTTGAGAAGAGGTTATTAAGTGATCAGTCTAGTCAATTACAGAGACTGAGAAATCCTACTACAGGTTGGAGAACAAGGGAAGCCAGAAGTGGGGCTCAGTACACATGGGAATTCTTAGAATTAGGGAAGCTGATATTTGAATTCCAAATTCCAGACCAAAGGTCAGAGGCCCTGTGGAGCCATGGTGTGAGTCCTATAGCACAAAGGCTACAGGTATTCTGAAGTCCAAGGGCAGAAGGAAAATTGCATCCCAGCTCCAAGCAAGAGAGTAAGAATTGGCCTTTCCTCTGCATTCTTGTTCTCTCTAGGCCCCAGTGCTCGGATGGTTTCTGCCCACACTG